TTATATATATATATGTATGTATGTATGTATGTATGTATGTTTCTATATATATACTTATGTATCTATATACGTATATGCATATATGTATATACGAACGTACGTATGCATGTATGCATGTATGCATGTATGCATGTATGCATGCATGTATGTATGTGTATTTAATCGTGTGTCGAACACAAGTCAATAAATACTGTACAGTGATCAAAGTACTTGTCTTTGTTGTATTTGTCAAAACACGACGCACTAAACATTATATTTGCTAATGATACGCTTTCTACTGTTGTAGGTGGCGAACACAAGTAAGCGCATTGTCATCATTACCAGCTCCCTTGTGGTGTTCCAGAATCAGGTCTCATGGGCGAATGTACTGGTAAGCAAATATAGGACACTATAAAAACCGAATATTAGCATGCGAACACACTGTTGTAAGTAAGTATACTGGTCGTTAAGCTTCTGGTTTGTATTCAAGAGTAAGTTCCATGCGCGAATATACTATCAAAAATGAAAACCTTTTCCTTGTTAGGACAAATTATACTCTTTTCTGTAATTTTATTGGTAGGTTTGTACTTAGTTGTGGTCAGAATCAGGTCTCGTGGGCGGTTATAAGGGTAAGCAAGCCTTACACACGTATAGGTATTCTGAATATCAAACATTTCGAGTGTACGAACAAATATTAGAATGTTTTGGTTAGAAAAACTATTGTTGAAGATTGCAAGCATACCTTCAGAGAATTAAACCGGCTGAATCGCCGCAATGAGAATACCATACCACATACCGGACTCTCCTTCGGCGTTACATCCCTCGCTTCTCGGTATCAAGTATCGATAAAATACAATACCTTGTCCGCCTTGAACCATGAAAGAACAAATAATGTGAATTCAACCGACATATTTGTACTTTCCTTAAGAAAATACGGCAACTGTCTAGTAACGTAAACCCCGCCTTCCCTCAGAGAAATATGTAACACACAATCTACACTCGTGACTACAGGGAATGGCTCTAGCTATCTCAGGCGTTGGCGCCTACAACTTAGCCAAATTTGAAGCTGCAAAGAAGAAGAAGGGGCTCAAATTACCTCAGAACAAAGATGACGGTGAAACCACCATTGAAACACCTTTCATGGAGTATGGTGATAAGGCTATTATGGAAGCAGGGGATGCACATTTGCACCTCACACCACGCAATTCTATTGTGCAGTTGAGGTGGGTATGCTGTACACTTATATATATAAATATATGGTATATATATATATATAATATATATATATATATATA